TTGCCTTTCCCTTCCCGAGGCAACGCGGGACTGGAGCCGAGCGGAGCTGCGCCAGCGGTAACAACTCCTGACAGCCCCAGCCGGATACCTCAGCGGAGCCCGGGCGGTGCGAGCCTCGTTTCCTTGGGAGCTGGGAGAAGGCTGGCTGCTCCTTTCGGCTTCACGGGATTCGTTTCCACGGTAGACAAAAGTGCCTCAAAAAAAAAAAAGTGCAAAAGTGGAAGGCGTGCGGAAGAGGGGGCGAGTATATAACAAACTATATTTTGAGTGGAAATGTTGGGGGGTCGTCTTATACGCCGGGTCGTCTTATCCGCCGGCATATACGGTATACCTAATATTCTTTCTTCCTCCTATTTTTCCCACTCTGAAGTAGGTTGGACTCAGAGAGAGAGATTGGCCAAAAGAATTCAGCTGGCTTTCTTGACTAAGGGAGAACTAGAACTCACCACCTCCTGGTGATTAGCCTGAAGTGTTCCAGCTAATTTTTGTACCTAAAGTGGGGCTAGAACTCACCCTCATTTTGGTGAGTGGTCCAAAGTCCACCTTTCTTGGTGATTGGGTATAATCACCCAGCCAACTTTCATATTTAAGATGAGACTGAAATTCACCATCTTCTGGTTTGTGGACTATCAGCTTTTACTACTACGCCAAACTGGCTTAGTGTAAGCTTGAGGAAAGAGGCAGGTTTTAAGGGCTCATTTGAATAAGAGCAAGATAGATATCATTCCAAGCGGGAGGCCCTACAGCGGAGAAGGCTCACTTCTTGAATACCACTAGGTGACACTATATAATTGATAGCACTCAGAACATGCCAACTCTTCCAGCTTGTAGGAAGAAGCTAAGAGAGAAGACAACCAGGTCCAGTTCATGAAGGACAGCATTGTCAAAGTCTACCATTCTTGAAGAGCCAAAGTTACCTCTGGTTCAGGGACAGAAGTCTCCAAATCATATTTGCAGAGCATCAATCACCAGAAAATATGTGTAAGGGCCCCAGAGGCATTTGGCTGGTCCCTGTAAGAAACAAATGCTATCACCAAGCTTGCAGGTTTCTTCTTCAAGGGTTGAAAATGCAATTTTTGCCAGTGGATTTGACCCCTTCTAGTTCTAACGTAATTGTACCTCATCCTGGAAACAGGCGGTAGAGCATAAGCTGGCTTCATATGGGCTTTCTCCACCATTCTTAAAATCATTAGGTTACGATCAAGCCAAGCCATTAATTATTTAAAGAAGGGATGTGGAATTTCAGATTGAAGTTAATAGGCTCCCTCAATACGATCAACATGGTTATATTGAGGAACATGGGGAGCAGAAAATCACTTGCTAAATCTGAAGTTTCCTAAGCTGAGAATCACATTCTTTAAAGTTAGATTTAACATTCTTCCCTCTGCACTTCATCAAGAGATGTTCTGTCTCACCTGTGGCCACGAGGTGAGAGTCCTAATGTCCAAAGGAAAATATACAAACAGAAAAGACCAGGAACAACAGAGTTAACTTTCCTTTGTCTGAATTTGTTGTTGGCAGTTTTCCCAGAAGCTGTCAGCCAATTATGATAACGAGCAGCACTATAAATCAGAGATGAATTCCAAACAGGATAAATTGTCCAACTGCAAACGCAAATCAACAAGTTGATCCGAACAGGGCTTCAGAGCTAACACACCTCCTTATATTTCCTGAAGGGGCGTGTCAGTCTCTTAGTCAGTCCCTGATTCAACGTCTCCTTCCAGTTTGTGCTTGACGTTTCTGCTTACGTCTGTTCCTTGCATCAAACCAAGATTCTTCGGTTTGATCTTCATCCAAGGGCTCTGGCACGTTCTCCTGATTATCTGCCAACACAGGTGTAACTAATGAGGAAGGTCCGGGAGAGGATGAGGATTCCGAAACTTCCAGCAAAGCAGGTTCAAACCCCAATGCCCTATCTTCCTCCTCCTCCTGACTCCCATTTATGTCACTCAACAAGGCAGGCTCAAACCTTAATGCCAGATCTTCCTCATCACTCGAGTCTATGTCTTCTGACAGAGCAGGTTCAAACCTCCTAGTCACAACAAAGAGAGGTGTAGTACAATCGCTGTAACTGCCCGTATTAGCCCATGTGATGACAAGGAGGCTGAAACCGTGTCACACATATTACAACATTACAACATTGTACCTTTTACAGAGACATGTACCCGTAATAGATAAATAACCTGGGTGGCCAGATCAATTTTAGATGAACTTTCTCCTTTAATATCTAAAACCATCGATTACATGTGCAGAGGCTCAATGTTCTATTGCCTCAATGAAAGCAGGATATAATTGGTCTTTGCTAGCTGCTGATTTATTATATTTATTTGCTTCACTCTGATTTTGTTTGTTTTGTTCTTTTAAATTTGGCCGGTCATTTTCTGAATAAATATTATTAATTGATAGAAATTGCTCTTTGAGGAGCATGGGGAGGGGGGGAGGGAAACCACACAAATGAGAATTTCTCTGTCTAGAACTAGATCAAACTTGGTCATGAAAATGAAGCGGGCAGGATGGTCCAAAGCTGGTATTAGTTCTGTTTTGGTGCTGGGCATGGATGAAAGAGTTGGCCTGTTTTTATCTGCGTTGTGGAAAATTTTTTGTGCTGTGAAATGCAGATGATTAAACCTTCTGGATTTCTGCCAAGAGTATGGTCTTGGCAGCTGGATTCCTCACAAGTCAGTGTGATGCCTTCTCCTCACACACAAACACACACACACACAAACCACACTTGCCTTTTAAAGGCAATCTTTGCATCTCAGCTTCTGAACCATTTGGGCAAGAATTGAGGGAGAATTTGAACTGGATTGCAGCAGATCAGGAAAGCTGCAAAGCGGTAAGACAGAGGATTTTTTTTTCCCCAGACCTGGCAACTTTAAGATGTGTGGACTTCAATTCCCTGAATTTCCCAAACAGAGCTGCATTGTCTTCACATTGGTGATCACAAATGCCCTCCGGGAAAACACTCAGCATTTGCACAAAAGTAATGGATGGAGGCTTGTTAATGAGAGACCCAACTTTGAAGTAAGACGAAATTTCCTGACTGGGAGAACAATTCATCAGTGGAACAGCTTACCTCCCAGAATTGCGGGTGCTCCATCACTGGAGTTTTCAAAAATATACTGGAGAACCATTTGGCTGGGATGGTATTGACTGAACAGGGGGTTGGAATAGAAGACCTCTGAGGTCCCTTCCAGCCAGAGGTAGTATTCAGCAGGTTCTGACCAGTTCTGGAGAACCGGTAACGGAAATTTTGAGTAGTTCAGAGAACCGGCAAATCCCACCTCTGACTAGAGATTTTACAGTATCCTTCCCCTGCACCGCCCACCAAGCCACGCCGACAGAACCGGTAGTAAAAAAATTTTGAATCCCACCATTGCTTTCAGCTCTATGATTCTATGTTCTAATCCGGAGAACTGAGCCTCTTGTACCACCATGCTACTTGGGTGAGTTTAGGGCAGTGTTTCCCAAACTTGGCCACTTGAAGACGGTGGACTTCTAGAATCCCCCAGTCATATTTGAAGTGCAGTGCTCTGAGGAAACCTTAGCTTCAGGAAGCCTGTGTGCTTCATTTTATCCTGATTTCTGAGTTGAAGTAAACACAGGGTTGTCCTGGTTACTCATTTCAGGAAGAATATCAAAAATGCTGGTATGCAACTCTCCTTTCTGTTGGAATGAAGGAAAAAGTGAAGCACAGGGCGAGCGGTGGCCCCCAGCCAGAAAGTCCGTGCTGTATTTTCCATTTAATCTTATTGTCTCGTGCTGATGGCTGAAGCAAAATCAGGCTCTTTCTTTAAGCTTATCAGCCAGAAATGAAATGGGAAATCCCTCGATTGAGCGCCAAGTCTTCGCTTCGGCTTCTCTTCATTTCCGAAGAGAAGAAATAAGCTGTGTGTGTGTGTCTGCATTGTGCATTTTCTCCAGAGCTTCCTGACCAGCTGTGGTTTTCAGAAGATCACTTGCACAGCAGGAAGTCAAGGGGAATTGTGGAGAAGGAGTCGACCTGTGGGAATCATATTTATTTAGGGTGGCTGCAGGTAGTCCTTGAGTTACAACCATAATGGAGCCTGCCCATCACAATTGTACCTCTTGGCAGTTGTAAAGCAATGAGTCATGTGACCTACCCAATTTTATAACCTTTGATCATGAAGTGAATCATTGTGATTATTAAGCAAATGGCCGCACTCATTGAGTGAAAGGCGAAGGTCCGCTATGGGCAGAGTTTGGCCAAAAACTGGAAGTAAATGTTGATTTTCAGCAAAACAGTTGTAAAATGTGACCCCAGGACTGTGGGACGCTGCAAATGGCCATAAATGCAGTCCGGTTATTAGGCACCTGAAGTGCAATGACATGACTGGGATGTGTGTGTGTGTGTGTGTGTGTGTGTGTGTGTGTGTGACTATTGCAACTTCAAATTTGGGTCGTAAATACCCCCCCCCCAGTAGATCTGTCAGAACTTTGAATGGTTGCTAGGTGATCAATCGTTTTACTTATGTATTTATTTTTCCTATTTCTTAACCACCCATCTTAAGCTAAGGACTACCTGTGCTTATCAGTAGAATTTACATGTGGTTGAACTTGCTGAAAATGATTACATTTTAAGGGGATACAGTAAAATGGTTGGGCCTATGATCATAAATTATTTCAGAATTCCCACTTGAGGCTCAAGTCTCCAGGCTCAACTTTTCCTTGTTTGAACACATCTCGTGAAAAGTCCTAGCTCTCTGGAGAAGTCAGTTATTTGGGGAAAGGTAGAAGGAAAGAGGAGAAAATTGATGATTGGCATCAAGAGGGATGGAACTTTATTATGGGGTGATGGGTACAATGTTGGAAGATTCGAAAGACCAGATTGTCATGAAGAAAATCCATGTAGCTGCTATAATTTGAAGCTGTGATGGTGGCCCATTGACAATATTGTCCATTGAGTCTGCATTTCTTTTTAATTTTTTGATTCTATGTTCATTCCAGTTTCTTTCCCATATTTTCATGTATAGTTTTCAAAAATCCTAATATCCATCTTGAGAAGATTAGATTACCTACTTCCTCTTTTCCCATTGAACAAACTCTTTGTTTTGTTTTATCACAGATGGGGAGAAGAACGGAAGCCGGATGGGTCAAATCGGAAATATTGGGTAAGTGCCACCACCAAGGAACGATAGTAAATGTATTCCTTCTGTCAATAAGTTCACAATATCATGCTTCAGCTCAGTTCACTTAACTAGGTCAACCAGAAGTTTCCATCTAGACCAGTGTTTCTAAATCTTAGTAAATTTAAGCCACATGGACTTCAACTCCCAGAATCCTCAGCCAGCACAGGCAATGCAAATAATTCTGGGAGCTGAGGGCCATACATCTGGAAATTACTACACTTCTGAAAAAAAATCTGGCCTATTATCCTAACTGGATTCCTTTAGTGACCAGAACTTATCCTTATCTTCAACTTAGGACTGGTCGCTTAGCAACTGTTCAAAGATACTATGGACCTCCCTATGGCTATTTATGACTTCTTTTTGAAGTTCCAACATCTGGGTCTGCCCCCTCTCCCAATCATATGATCGCATTTTGGGTGCTCAGCAACCCTCCTGCATTTACGGCTGCTTGTAGTATCCCGTGGTCATGTGACCACATTTTACAACAGTTTTGTCAAAAACCAGCTCATAGCAAACCACTGGTTTGCTTAATGACCTCTGCAAAAAAGGTCATAAAATTGGGTCAGTCACCTAACCCAATCACAACTTACAAACTTACACTAGTTTATTAATTAATTTTATTTACATCCCGCCTTTATTATTTTTAAAAATAACTCAAGATGGCAAACATATCCAACACATCTTTCTCCACTGATTTTCCACACAACAACAGCCCTGTGAGGTGAGGTGAGCTGAGAGAGAGGAAGTGGCCCAAAGCCACCCAGCTGAACTCCATAGCTAAGGTGGGCCTAGAACTCACAGACTGCTGCTTTCTATCCTACCTCCTTAACCACTACAATTAGACTAACTTTATTGTCACTTTGAATGTACATTAAAAGGAAATTTCGTTGCATACAGCTCTCAAAGGGTCACCACCTGCAATATACACTACATAAACATGGCAAAATAAATAAATACAAAAGCATGCCTGTACCCACATATATTACATGTCACAGAGAAACAACACAATGTAGTTTGGGTGTCTACATGTACATGGTGAGAAAAACGAATCTTGTGAATTTACCAGACGGATGGCCTAGGGAACAAAGCTGTTACAGAATCTGGAAATCCTACTAGAAATACTTTGAAAGCTCCTTCAAGGTTTCAGGGGGGAGCAACAGAAACAGACCATGAAGTAGGTGTATGGGGATCTCTGATAATACTTTGAGCTCTAAACACATAGCACTTATAAGCAGCATCCTGAATAACGGGAAGAGAGCTTCCCAGAATCTTCTCGGCTGTCCTTACCACTCTCTGTATGGACTTTCTATCTGAGGCACTGCTGCCACCAGACCAAACAGCGATGCAGTTTGTTAAAATGCTCTCAATTGTGCCTCTGTAGAAAGTGGGCAGGACAGAAGGAGAAAGATGTGCTCTCCTCACCCGATGCAGGAAATGCAGATTCTGGTTTGCATGCTTCACTAAGAATGATGTGTGGAGAGACTAATTCAGATTATTAGTTATGAAACTGGCTCTTGCTATTGACCGATGATTACCTATTGACTTGTTCTCCAGGGTTGTTGTAAGCATTTTAAAAAGAATACAAATGTAAAACTGCTATATTAGACAAACATCAATGCTTTTTCTATTGGAAACCCCTTTCATAGCCTATTCTATCTCTGTCTTCAGATTGCAGCCAACTCCTGGGGAAAGGCATGGGGTGAACACGGCTACTTCCGCATTGCCAGAGGGACCAACGAGTGCGAGATCGAATCCTTTGTGGTGGGTGTCTGGGGCCGGGTTGGAATGGAAGATATGCACCACAAGAAATAAGGAGATTGGATCCTTCAGCCTTGCATTATGATAACAGGAAGAACTTATTTCCTTCTGTTGGACCTATGTTTTCTTCTCCTCAAAGCATCTGGTATCTAGAACAGTCACAACAGGACATAACTACTATGGGTTTGGCCTCCAAAGACAGCAACCTTTATCTCTGTTCTGGGGGAAGCCTAGAACCATCATATGGATTTTGGACTTGGAAAGTCTTTTGGAGAATCCTTCCTCAGATGGTGGGGGGGGGAAAAACACCTGAGAACCTCTGAAATGACTACCAAAATGATACAGTTTCTTGAAAAGGACCAAGAGAAGATATCCAATCTGACATTCTGTTATGCATAGCTCACATACCCACAACCAAAGGGACCTGAAGATATCAGAAGGAAACCTTGCCAGGATTCCCTACCAAGGATGGAAAGTTGCAAGTGATCTGAAGAAACCTGTTGACTGGGAGACCAACCAACACCTTTTTTTTAAAAAAAAGCCCTTTCTGTGATCTACCTTACAGAACCTTCTTGGAAGTGATGGCATCTCTGGCTTGACCTTCCCTAGAGGCAACCATGGTAAAATAAAGAGTTGTCATCCTCTTGGGCCAAATTTTCAAGCATCTCAGGTAGTACATCTACATATAAGTGGATTTTTAGTCCTAGCAAGCATGTCTGTAGCAATGGCCACTGACTCCAAAATGGCGGATGAACTAGATGAAAGAAACCCTGTATGCGTCTGCAATGTGTCCTTTCAAGAACAGCTATATAGGCTGAAATCAACCCATCCGGAGAGAGGCCAGACTGTGGGAGGCTGGCTTAGCCTCGATTCTCTGTCAACCTGGAACAAGTTCTTTCCTGCCTATCCTATCTTAGAACATAAAATCACAGGGCTGGAAGAGACCTCACAGGTCTTCCAAGGCAATAATCAAAGTAATCAAAGTGAAGAAAGTGTTTGATATCCTTTAGGCAACACTGCCCTTTCTCCAACAGTCCTTCTCAGCTATGTTGGGCTTCCAAGCCCCACAATTTCTAACACGGCCATCTATGGACATCAAGGCACAAATCCCTGGAGAGTACCAGGATGAGGTCAAGCTGCCTTGTGTGTCTACCACAATGGAAGGAGGACGTCCTGTGTTTCTCAAGCTTCCTTGTTCAGCCCACCATGAGGTATTGCTGCTCCAAAGACAATGCAATTCCACCACAGCTTCAGCAGCTGAGTGCTTTGCCAAAGTCCTTCAGTTGACTTTCCAAGCCAAGTTGAAATCAGCCCCCAGGCCACCTGTTTTAGGCCCATCTAAACTGGAAAATAGGAGGAAATTCTCCTCCTCCTGTCTCCTCCACCTCGTTTCAACCCCCATGGATATTTTTTTTTTATTTTCATGTCCCTGCCGCATAGCCAAACACCAACTTTTGCTGAGTCCAATGACTTGGTGCACCATCCTGGCTCTGACCCACAGTGAAAACTTTTTATCCTCCTGCCTGAACCCACTCTCGGTTTACCCCACTGCCTTTCCTCTTTTTCTTTTTCTTTGTCCTTTTCTGGCTTTTGATGCCCGTCTCTGCACCTTCCGTGCTGGCGTGAGAGTCTCTCGCTGTTAAGCCTTCCTTGGCTTAGTGGCCCTTTGTTGAGAACTTAAGGCTGTTGAAAGGGAAGGCCTTCAGCCAGCTAGGCAGGTTGGTTTTGTCCCATTCTGCAAGCTTTGCAAGCGCCAGTGTAAACATCGAGCGGCTGCCATTTGTGTGAAAGAAGCGGAAAAAAGCGCTTTAAAAGGCGCGTGTTCATGCATGACCGAGGCGGGGAGCTTTGGAAGAAGTGCCTGTGCTAGCAGTCCTTCCATGGAGCCGGAAAACTCTTTTATGTGAGGATGAAGGGAGAAAGTGGAGCTTCCTCCCCTAATACCTGATCAAAGCAGAGATTAGGGGAATCTCGGCCGAGTTGTCCTGGTGGGGAATTGGGAGGGGACTAATCAAGGTTAGCCTTCAGGCTGCCATTAGAAGCTGGTCTAATGGGCTGCTTAGTTGCATTCATTTGAAAGAAAAGGAACATCCCTTGTCTCTTTCAACTTGGTTACTGAAAACACCCATTTTATGGATTGGAACAATTGGTGGAAATCCCAAAAGCTGGACTTGTACCATAGGCTAAGTTTCCAAAGAACAAAATCAAATGAAAACCAGTCCAACGAAGCATGGTCCATAAACACAGCTGCTAGATTTGTAGCAGATCTGCTTTAAAGTATAATTGTGCAAACCAGGGTAGAAAGCTAGCTTTTCAGGCTGGGCTTGAATCTGTCCTGTTCTCAGTCAGGGGCGTTTTTATGACTATTAAAAATAAATAAATCATTATTTGGTCTAATTGGCCTTCATTTGGCAATCCAGGCCAAACAAAGATGAAGTTCCTTCAGGTGAATTGAAACAGAGCTGTTGATATGCAACCACCATCCACAGGCATCCGTAATTCCATTTTTGGTAGGTTTTACAGCCACTCAGTTTGGCAAGGAGGACCTCCATGCCAGCCTATCTGTCTGTTCTATCCCTTGCTTAGCCTTAGGCTCTGTGCTGTAGAAGTTAAAGTTCAGATGTGTATCCAAAGGGTAAAACCTCCTTTCAGTTGAGCTCTGTTGATCTGACACTGTGCATGTGCATCTATACATATGCAGTTTCCTTGGCTACGTTATGGAAATAGTTGACAATTGATCTTTTTCAGATTTATTTTCAACTTCCCAGTCTAGGTCTACAACCCTGGGATGTTTTAGAAGTCTACCGTCTCCCAGGACCAACCTCACCTAACTTCTGAATCTTCCTGTTACCTAATCAAAGTTGACACTTGAGTGAATAAGCAAAACGCCAACAAAATTCCCCTCCCCCAAATTCCCCAGGTGATAAATGTCATTTCAAAAAGAAGAAAAAAATATTTTCTCTTATTAGGTAAAAATCTTTATTCCTGGAAAAGAAAAATACTGCTATTTTAACTAAGCACGAAACATCTTCAGTTCAATTTCAGTATTTATTATTTTGCTTTTGTTTATTTGTGACATGAATAAAGTGCATCGAAGATGCTGGCAGGAACTGTGTGTGATTAGTTTATCAGCCCTGTCTTAGATTCCCAGCTAAGTTTTATCTAGGTCCCTTCCTGTATTAAATGTGATGATTAGTCTAAATATTTTAAAGCTTATAGAACTGGTAGTTGATGCGCTGTGAAAGTTATTTGTAGAGAGGTTTTTTTTTTCTTTTCTCCATGAAGAACTACTGAATTTTCACAAAGCCATTGAAGCCTGAAAATGTAATGGATATAGATTAACATGAGGTAACAGAAATATTAAAAGGGAGAAAGGGAAGGAGATAATAAAGATAGGATAGATATAATAGATAGATAGATAGATAGATGATAGATAGATAGATAGATAGATAGATAGATAGATAGATAGATAGATAGAT